GGTCTGGAAGGAGTCAGAGATGTGGCCTGGTGGGGCAGGGCGAAAGGCAGAGGGCCTCTCCTGCAGTTGAGGAATAACCAGCCAAGGTCCACCGGGCCCAGCACTGAGCAAAACAGGCACAGTTTGTAGAGGACCTTGTGGCACTGCTTCTGAACGCCCCAGGGGCTCGGGAACCAGCAACAGCACATTTCTCGCCTCATCCTCCGAGGGTCAACTCAGGGGAAATAGGACCTGCTTCCCAGCAATGGAGCATGTGGTCCCCACGCTGGAGCTCCACGGTAGATCGAGAAGCTCAGGACTGAGCAGCGGTGCCCTGCAGGACAGTGTTGGCAGGGGCCCGACGACCTGACCCGGGGCCAGCGCAGCTGGGTCACAGTCAGGCTGGGCGTCGGTCTACACTGCAACACCCGAGTTCTTTGAATCCACGTGGTGAGAGCAGCGACTCCCAGATGCCGTCTCTTGCTTAGCCTAGACCTCCTATTTCTATTCTTTTATGATCTCCAAGAAGGGTACTGACCTCACTCTAAATATACTGTCCGATTTTGTCATCCTAACTTCTCCCTGGGACTTGGGGGCTACTGGCCACACCAAGCCTGTTGAAAGTCTTGTGTAAATGAACCAGTGACCATTATTAAGTGACACGTGAGCGGCCCCCAGTTGTGCTAAAGCCTAGTCTGTGTCTTCGCAGTGCTTTCGAAGGTGTGTATGTGTGAATAAATGTATGATATATATTTATACATGCTGCTACAGCGATACGTTAAAGGCCAACATAACTGGTGGACAGGGTCAGTGAGAGGAAATGAAACAATCTTTTCGGTGGCTATTAGAGCAAAATGTGTGTAAAGAAATAAGTTTTTCTTCCCCTACTTCGTCTCTAATTTCTGCACGAGTCCCTAGGCTGAGTGGGGAAGAATAGGAAAGACAAACTGTCACGAAGAGCTCACCTCACTGTCTAATGCTTGAAGTCTAAGTTTAAAAGAATGATCTACCCTCTTGTCATTTTGTAACAATCCCCTTATCTAAAAATATTAAAGGGCAGTTCTTACATTTAGAGTGCCTCAGAATCAGCTGTGGAGATTACAGAAGCTCCTTCCTGGGCTCCAATCCCCGGAGGTTTCGTTGGTGTGAGGCCCTAGAGTCTGCAGTTTTTCACGTAAACACAGACCACACGTTTCTGATGCGGGTGGGCTGCGGATCCCAGTCGAAAACCTGTTGTTCTATAACACTGATTCAAACCTATAAATAAGCTTGTTTTCCTTTAATTAAGAATCCTTAATTGAAAAGTGGGTAAGTCACACCACAAATGGACATAAAAATCTCAAAGCGTTCCTCGGGAAAAGTCCTTAGTTACGTTCTTTTGCCTTCCAGAATTAAAACCAAGCACTTGCTCCACAATTATTTCCTAGTAACAGTTGAGAAACTAAAACGAACGACAACATGAACAAAAAACTCACGGACTTCCCCGGCGGTCCAGTGCTTAGACTGTGAGCTTCCACTGCAGGGGGCAGGGGTTCGATCCGTGGTCGGGGAACTAAGGTCCCGCAGGCCCCCGCCGGCGTGGCCAAAAATATAAATAAATAAAATAAAGATAAAACATAAAATAAAAAATAAAACAACTCAAACATTGTCACCACCACCGCCACCAGTTACCAAAAGACCCAGCGAAAGACTCAGGCCTGAGGTAGACACATGCCCCACTTCCGTAGTAGATGAAGTGACCTCGACTTCTGCCTTTACGCTTGGTTAAGTATTTTCCATGAGTGCCTTTGGCTGTCACTACAGAGGAACTCACTGGCAGAATCAGCAAGAATGGATGAAAAGTCAGCCGAACTATGAAGTCTTACTTAAAGATAAAGCAGTAAAATTTGAGGACCTCTTGCCCTGTGGCGATGCAAGCATCCCAGCAATTCTTCCTTCCTCCCTGTGCTGCCAGGGCTGGAAGGCATTGATGGTGTAATCAGTAGTCAATGGAGAACTCAAATAATGCTTCTAAGAACTTCATTTTACGGACGTTAACATTTATGAAAACAACAGCATATGCATCGTGTAAATCTCAGAGCTGGTCAGGATTGAAACCGTGTACGAGGCCCCGTGCCCTTGTCTTTTGAAGTAAAGTGCTGACTCAAGAGTTAGTGATTCGGGAATGTGAAGGTGTAGAAACAAAGAACAGCTGTTGGGCTGGGGAACGGGCAGCAATGTAGACTATAAATCCGCCACACGGCAGAATCATCGAACTCCCAGTTCACTGAAGCTACCGATGAAGGCCCGACACACACTCCTAAGTGGTTTTACAGGGCGCAGACCCCCTCCAGATGGAAAGCGCCGCCCACAAGCACATAGACCCTGGACTGGTTGAAACCAGAAGGTTGATGACGCTTGAAACTTCACTTTGATGCCAGCCAATCCGAGAACTGTCTGCGAGCTGATCACGCCCTGCTCCTCCAACGCTGTAAGGCTCCTCACTATGCCCTCCAGGGTGGGTCACACAGTCTTGAGGGCATTAGCCCGCTGTGGCCCCCTCTGCCTGGCAAAGCAATAAAAGCTACTCTTTTCTGCTTCACCCAAAACTCTGTTTCCGCATTTCTCTTCGGCACCGGTGAACAGAGGCCAAGTTTCGGCAACAGGATCCAGTCACAGATTACTTTGGGGGAAAATTCCTAAAAGCCATTCTTGTGTCTCACCCTTTGAAAAGTAGCTCTTCACCCTAAAAAAAAAAAAATGGTTGCGAAAAATGAATCTTTGGGATGGAGGATTCTACGGTATTTAACTTTCCATAAATTATATTCTTTCCCTCTACGTGTTAGAAGCCGTTCTTAAAAGCAAATGAAATCAACCTGTGTCACCACCACTGTCTTCCAATTTGCTGTAATTCCAGTGAGAACCATGTTGGGTACCCCTGTGCAGGAAATAGGGCGAGAGTCCTTTAGGGAAAAAACGGAAAGGAAAAAACATACCTAATGTAATGCTTTAAACATGTACCAGTATCTCTTGACCTGTCAACCTAGGACAGACAGACGACCTGCAGATTTATATAGGGTTCATTATGTCCCCCATCTTATTACTGCTAAGGTGAATGTGCTAGACACTTATTGAATTGGTGTTCTATGTCTGCTGTAATAAGTGACCATGAGTTTAGTGGCTTAAAAGAACACACATTTATTATATTACAGTTCTGTAGGTTAGGAGTCCAACAAAGGTCTCACTGGACTAAAATCAAGGGGTCAATAGGGCTGCCTTACCTTCTGGAGGCTCTAGGGGATAATCTGTTTCCTTATCTTTTCTAGAGATTTTTCTAGAGATCTTTTTCAGAGATTCTCTGCGCTATTACTATCCCTGGAATAAAGCCTATTTCAGATGAAATGAGCCAGAGTTTATTTCTGATGGCTGCAGAGAGAGAAAGGAGGGGAAAGGGGGAAAGCAGGAGGAGGAAAGGAAGCTTCCTCCTGGAAGTTAGCTGGGTGCTGAGTTCCTTAGTTGTCGGCTCCAAGATTCTCCGGAAGAGTCAGCTTCCCCCTGGAGCCAAAGGCACCCTCAAGGATCAAGTCACTCCGCTCCTTGCTCTCTGGTCTGAAAACACAAGTTGGCTGCCTTCTTCAGCCTCCCCTCGCCCCGCCCTCAGGTCTAGCCCAGTCTCACCCAGGTGGAGAAAACAAACGAAAAAACCAACCTCGCTCTTCAAGCAAACAGGTCATCTTCCTATCCCTTGTTCTGGTCATCAGCTTCTTTTTCAGAATCGTCATTTCTTGTATTCTGTATGGTGAGGAAGGGAAAAACATGGTCCCTGGTATACCACGAGATTGAAGTAGGAAGGACGTGCACAGAAAATACACCGAGTAGCACTCTGAGATGTAACCCTGAATCTACATGTCTACACACAAGACACATACATAAATATATACTTGTATCCATTGTTTTACAACTTCTTTATTTCTTAAAAACATTTTGGATCAGCATAACACACGATCCCAGAATTCCTTTCCCCGGCGTGTAACGCAGGACAAAAGGTAAGAATTCGAGGAGGCTGGCGAAATCCGCCGGTATCTCAGATAAAGGGTAAGAGGCGTGTTACCTCGGCTTGGTGGACTCCCGAAGTGGGCGGGTATGATGACGTCACTTCCCCCTTCAGCAGCCGGCCCGCCCATTGGTCATCTCGGCAGGGCGGGGACAGGGCGGGGGTTGGAGGAGAGGAGCCGCCTTAGAGGTCAGGAATGGGGCTTGGCTTATGTAAATCTTGCAGCGTAGGGGTACAATTCCCGGCGAGCCACTTCCCGGGCTGTGGAAGTTTTCGGGAGAAGCTGCTTGGATTTTATTAGCAGAGTGGTTTGGAGGGGCTGAGAGGCGTGGAAGAGGAGGGGGTGCGGAGGGTGGGTGGGGAGCGTGTGTGTACAGTGTAGGCGTCTAAGGCTGTACGGGGGGG